CTGCAACTGGCAAGCTCCACCGCCACAAGAACCGATGGCGGAGGATCAGGAGGAGGCAGTGGGACCGGGACCGCCAGCGGCACCGCCTCAGCCAAAGCCGCCGGGGGCACTGACGAAAGAACCACCGACGGCCGGAGCAAAGGCGGCGGCACAAGCCGACCCGATTAGCCACCACGCCCATTCTCCTCCACCACCGCCACCAGCGACGGCGGAGCAAGCACAGTCTGTGAGCCAGGATCCGCGGGTTGTGTAGGCAACGACTGTGTGGTTAATAGTTGTTTTCTAGGTCGCCCTCGCTTCGGTCTTTGTTGTTGTGCGCAAGGTGGAAGTATATGACGTGGTGTGTGTTGTTTGATGCGTGCGTTCAGGTGCTGAACTGAGTCTGTGTCGTGTTTAGTGCGGCCAAGCTTGGCCGTTAATATTCAAGGTGTAAGGGACTGCTGTTATGTGTTATCACGTTGTCTTTCCTTTCTTTCTCCTTTGTTCATTTCTCGCTTTGATTGTTAAAATTCACACTTGTAAATTTCACTGCTGTTGCTCTTAGTGTTATTTCTCTAACTTAGATTTTCTATAATAGTTCAATTTTTGTTTCAGTGTCCTTCAGTACAACGACGATTCCTGATGAGTGTTGTACGAAAACTTGTTTGAATCCATATTTTATACCTACACCATTTCTTCATATTTTCATCGTTTTATTGCACATCGTGTCCACCGTTTTACATTGCATGAATAAAGTACACAAATGTCGGTTCAGCTAGTTTCATTGATTGCGGTTACCAGATGAAGAGGAGTTTTCTTTTTATGCCACAGTCTCTGGACATAGCATCTCTAGCGATACTGAAGTAAACACGGATCCATTAATAAATTTGAACCTGGATAAAGGAGCGGCTATAAACAGAAAGAGCATGTTCCAAATAACTGCCTTTGCCGAGTCCAGCTCAGCAGGCTCGAAAAGAAGTAGAATTTTCCATGGACGCAGTACCAAGTCGATATGAGTGCTCAGCATCGCGTGTTTTACTTTCCTTGTGAAGCACGTACAGTTCCTCGTGGACGATTGTAATGCAAGCGCTACAGTCAAGTGCTGTCAGAAAAGAAGGGTATTGTGGCAAACCCTTTGTCTCCACGCAACCTCAGGGGAAGGAGACAGCCAGCGGCAAGCAGATGATGTGGAGCGGCAAAATAACTTCTGACCACGTGTTGTCAGGAGTTCTGCAAATGGGAGGGATCTCGATCTGAGGTTGTCTCTCAGGAACTGGCCTCACGTGAGCTGTTTCAGATGAAGGCATTTTTCACCGAGTGGAAGGAGTGACAGCTTGTCTGCAGGTAGGAATACCTTTTCCCATGATAAGCTTCCAGCATCCAAATGATCACCAGCAATAATGGTTTCACCATTCACTACATGTATTAACAAGGAAAAAGATTTCACACACCCACTTTTCAGCCACAGCTCTGCATCAAATTTGCAATGGAGAGCAGCCAATCGAGACGCGATCTTGTCTTATAGTGCTAAGAAGTGGTGGAGCTCGTAAGAGATATTGTAGCAGCTTCAGAGGCAGATCGACTAAATGCATCCTTTCCTGGAAGTTTGACAATGCGCAGCCTTTCTTCCATTTTTGTTTCAAACCAAGAGCATTATAACCCGTGTTGAAGCATTATATTCAGCATTATCACTCTCTTATTATTGACCCCCACAGAAACTTGTGATCTCTAAGCGGTCAAATATCAGCATTATATTGACCGCTTATATTGACCACTTATTATTGACCACTTAGCCCGAGGACTTAGAACTTTTTCCCCAACTTAGAAAAAAATCAGAACTGCGTACTCTGCGTGGCTGGCACTTCCCCAAGAAGCTAAGGACCTTTCTTCCCTCCGCCTTTTTAAGAGCCTTGTCGCGCCTTGACTTTGATTTTGCGTTTCTCAATTTGTTGCAATCACTACTTATCCATGCCGGTTCCTTTTTTCTTCTCCTCCCCTTCTCCCTTCCTTGCCGTGGTTGGCTAACACCCTCTCTCTTTGTATTGGCCGGTGTTCTCACTGTGCTATGCGATGCTGCAATAAATAAATAAATAAAAGAAGAAAAATCTGAAGCCAAATGCTGGGATTTGAACCAAAACTGTCAGATTCTCAGTCAAAGAACTTGGGGAACATACTACAAGAGACAACTGAAAACTTCGGTTTACACAGAAGTAATGTCCAATGTAAACGGCATATGTACATACTATTATACTATTAGAATAGTATTCCTTTCTTCCTATAGCAAAGCAAAAACAGTTATAGATATGCTATGTAAAGAGTCGGCGTGGAGAAAGCAATTTTATTAGTGCAACTGTTCTTTGTAAACAAAAGAAGCATGTAGTCGCGCTAAAGTTGTTCTCGTAGCTGGTTATCAGATGTAAATGTTGTGTCATGTTGCACTGTATCACCTCTTGCTTTGTGGCTGCACTCAGTTATATACGTTAGCACTATGTTTGACACCTATTATGTAATGCTGTAGCACTTCCTTTGTTGTTCACACTTTTAATTAATTATGCTGTTATAAAATGTTCTATTTTTGTACACAGTACCCTCAGTTCCGATACTATTCACTGATGAGCGGAACACGAAAATCGATTTTGAATAACATAAAAATCCTTTAAATTTCCATGAACTCGTTGTTGTCTGGCCGTGTCTGCATCGATTATACTCCTAATTGCACTAATGATATGCTATGTCGTGATAAATCTATTATTGCCCTCATAATCGGTCAATATAATGAAATATGGACCTCGTAAAAGACCTCGGCGGACCTCGGTCTTTCATTCGTTCTATATTTCATATATTGACCTCTTTAATCTAGCAATAATAGATACTTATAAGATAGTTTTTGGAGCATTATGATTAACATTATACGAACATTTCCGGAGCATTATCCGCTTAGTTATGCTCCGGATATGATGAAGCAGTTCGTCCAGTGATCATGAGAAAGAAAAAAAAGGAAAAAAAGGAAAAAGAAAGACATTTTTTAAACTTTTTCTTACACATTCGCTATCGCGGCGCGGGCTGGATTCCGCAGTAGGCCCATGCAGATTCTGCTCCGCTCGCCTCGATATTTTGCCGCAAAATGTTGCTGCGAAATCTTCGATATTTTGCCCAGCCTGGCACAAGAAACTCGATATATTGCTCCATTTTGTTCCGGAAAAACGTGTATTTTATCCAATTCCCGTACAATGTTTCATAAAATCGCAGGGTCGGTTCCCAAAACGGATTTCCACGGACGTGTCCCTGAGTTCTTCCGAAATCATTTGGATCCACAGTGAATCCCAGTGATATCGGTGACATGATCTCGTCCTGGGCTGTGTATCCAGCTGAAACAAAGAAATCCGTAGCGCTAACTGACAGCCTTCCAACTTGGAAGGTTCAAGGTTATGAAAAGACCAGTTAGTCGGTTAGCGCTACGGAGATGTGTTGAAGCTAGGTGTCAGGACGTCGAATGACTCAGTACTCTGTCAGTTTTGTGCCTAGTTATTGCACATTCTGACTGTATAGAGTATCCAGTTACAGTGATGGAGAGTTACTCTTAACTCGTATCCATATGTGCTTTTCTTTTCTACATCTCTAATTACTATCATTATTAATTTTAAAGAGTCGGCGTGGAGTAAGCAATTTTATTAGTGCAATTAAGAGTATAATAGATGCAGACATGGCCAGACAACAACGAGTTCATGGAATGTTTAAGGATTTTTAAGGATTTTTATGTTATTCAAAATCGATTTTCGTGTTCCACTCATCAGTGAAAAGTATTGGAACTAAGGGTACTGTGTACAAAAAAGAAAATTTTATAACAGCATATTAAAAGTACGAGCTTAGAAGTTGCGACTTCGGCGGTAATAGTCATGAAGTTGATTGTTCCAACTAGGAACACACGCTTCTTGCCGAACTTGACACTTGACTGACTCACGACTGCCATCCGGAGCACACGAGGAGCACGTCGCACCTTCCACTCGGCAAACCTGCAAGAAAGCACCACTCCCTGCTCAATACACAGGGAGAAACATCGTGTATTGAGCAGGGAGTGGTGCTTTCTTGCAGGTTTGCGGAGTGGAAGGTGCGACGTGCTCGTCGTGTGCTCCGGATGGCAGTCGTGAGTAAGTCAAGTGTCAAGTTCGGCAAGAAGCGTGTGTTCCTAGTTGGAACAATCAACTCCATGACTATTACCGCCGAAGTCGCAACTTCTAAGTTCGTATTATTGTCCCTCACGCGGACGTGCGACTACTTGTTGGAGGTGACAGCGTTGCGAATAGCTATACTGGCTCTCAACGTCTCTTTATCACAACTCCATGAGCGACTCTGACTAACGCTGCTACCTGGAGCTTCACGAGGTGTTCGTCGCGCTGGAAACAAAGCGTCTCTGTAAGTTTGTATCCCTGGTGATGGTTTGGCCTGGAGAGCAGTATATAAGTGGTGCTTTTCAGGCACAATCTTCCTCAGCCTACTCAAGCTCAACTGATGAGGGGTGAATTCCCCGAAACACCGTGTATTGAGCAGGGAGTGGTGCTTTCTTGCAGGTTTGCCGAGTGGAAGGTGCGACGTGCTCGTCGTGTGCTCCGGATGGCAGTCGAGAGTCAGTCAAGTGTCAAGTTCGGCAAGAAGCGTGTGTTCCTAGTTGGAACAATCAACTTCATGACTATTGCCGCCGAAGTCGCAACTTCTAAGTTCGTATTATTGTCCCTCACGCGGACGTGCGACTAGTTGTTGGAGGTGACAGCGTTGCGAATAGCTATACTGGCTCTCAACGTCTCTTTATCACAACTCCATGAGCGACTCTGACTAACGCTGCTACCTGGAGCTTCACGAGGTGTTCGTCGCGCTGGAAACAAAGCGTCTCTGTAAGTTTGTATCCCTGGTGATGGTTTGGCTTGGAGAGCAGTATATAAGTGGTGCTTTTCAGGCACAATCTTCCTCAGCCTACTCAAGCTCAACTGATGAGGGGTGAATTCCCCGAAACACCGTGTATTGATCAGGGAGTGGTGCTTTCTTGCAGGTTTGCCGAGTGGAAGGTGCGACGTGCTCGTCGTGTGCTCCGGATGGCAGTCGTGAGTCAGTCAAGTGTCAAGTTCGGCAAGAAGCGTGTGTTCCTAGTTGGAACAATCAACTTCATGACTATTACCGCCGAAGTCGCAACTTCTAAGTTCGTATTGTTGTCCCTCACGCGGACGTGCGACTAGTTGTTGGAGGTGACAGCGTTGCGAATAGCTATACTGGCTCTCAACGTCTGTTTATCACAACTCCATGAGCGACTCTGACTCACGCTGCTACCTGGAGCTTCACGAGGTGTTCGTCGCGCTGGAAACAAAGCGTCTCTGTAAGTTTGTATCCCTGGTGATGGTTTGGCTTGGAGAGCAGTATATAAGTGGTGCTTTTCAGGCACAATCTTCCTCAGTCTACTCAAGCTCAACTGATGAGGGGTGAATTCCCCGAAACACCGTGTATTGAGCAGGGAGTGGTGCTTTCTTGCAGGTTTGCCGAGTGGAAGGTGCGACGTGCTCGTCGTGTGCTCCGGATGGCAGTCGTGAGTCAGTCAAGTGTCAAGTTCGGCAAGAAGCGTGTGTTCCTAGTTGGAACAATCAACTTCATGACTATTACCGCCGAAGTCGCAACTTCTAAGTTCGTATTGTCGTCCCTCACGCGGACGTGCGACTAGTTGTTGGAGGTGACAGCGTTGCGAATAGCTATACTGGCTCTCAACGTCTGTTTATCACAACTCCATGAGCGACTCTGACTCACGCTGCTACCTGGAGCTTCACGAGGTGTTCGTCGCGCTGGAAACAAAGCGTCTCTGTAAGTTTGTATCCCTGGTGATGGTTTGGCTTGGAGAGCAGTATATAAGTGGTGCTTTTCAGGCACAACCTTCCTCAGCCTACTCAAGCTCAACTGATGAGGGGTGAATTCCCCGAAACACCGTGTATTGAGCAGGGAGTGGTGCTTTCTTGCAGGTTTGCCGAGTGGAAGGTGCGACGTGCTCGTCGTGTGCTCCGGTTGGCAGTCGTGAGTCAGTCAAGTGTCAAGTTCGGCAAGAAGCGTGTGTTCCTAGTTGGAACAATCAACTTCATAATTATAAGTGTGAACAAAAAGAAGCGCTAAAGTTGTTCTCGTAGCTGGTTATCAGATGTAAGTGTTGTGTCATGTTGTCATGTTTTTTTTTTTTTTATGTTCGCACTTTTAATTATGCTGTTTAATGTTCTTTTTTTGTACACAGTACCCTCAGTTCCGATACTATTCACTGATGAGCGGAACACGAAAATAGATTATGAATAGCATAAAAATCCTTAAAATTCCATGAACTCGTAGTTGTCTGGCCATGTCTGCATCTATTATACTCTTAATTGCATTACTATTATTATTTTAATATAGCTATGAATAGGATGAAGACCGCAGACATCACGCAACTACGTTACTTGTTTGACATGTATTACTGTGTATTTTATAACAAAAATATTATTGAAAACCCAGAATCGATTTTCTCGTTCCTATCATCAGTGGGAAAAAACGGAACTAAGGATACAACCAAAGAAACTGAAGTTAAGTACTGTAAATAGAAAGGAGTTAGAAATAACATCAAGATACAAATGCAATAAAACCACTAGAGGAAACGCAAGAAAGGTAACAAGATTACATAACCAAAGGCGAGAAGGCACTGAACGAAGTGTCAACCTACGAATACAACTTCAGTGCAACAATGTGCTCTTTCTGCTTACACAAAACAGGCTTATGAATACGTATACAAACTGCCTCTAGGACTTTCAACTGTTGGACATAACGCGCACGACACAGTACAGAGAAATGAGAGTCATCATACACACCAAGACAGTCAGGACGAGATAACAAGTGTAGATACACAGCTGACTTCTTACGATCAACACATTCATCCGCCTCATCTCGCTCCTTCCCACCCGACTCCGACTCGTCCATCTCATCGTCCTCTTCCTCGTTCCGCTCGTCATCCTCACGATCATCATCACCACCATCATCTGCCTCGTCCTCTGTCTCCTCACCAACTGTTTCGTCATCCAATTCCTCTTCCATCCTCTGATCATCCGTCCCATCCTCCGTTTCAGTACAGACCACTTGTCTCCCATTTGCTAGCTGCTCGTCCCGTGAGCGGAGTTGTTCCTCCAGATCCGCTTCACTCACTGACTCATGATACTGCTCGACCCTCCTCCTGTTGGTACTGTCCACAACGCGCGGTCCCTGGCCGTTTCTGGCATAGATCTCTGTGCAGTGGTTTGCTGTTGCCCTCCGAGGTCTCTGGATTAATGTGTTATAAAATACACAGTAATACATGTCAACAGTAACGTAGTTGCGTGATGTCTGCGGCCTTCATCCTATTCATAGCTATATTAAAATTGTTATCTCCACGTAGGTTTTACAAGAAATCGGAGGCGGATAATACTTTAATAACGAAGGTACGTGTTGGGTCGTAAGTATCCACGCAAACACACATCCAGTCAAAATAAGGCACTTGTCAAAGTATCCGAACGTTTTCGGTCCCTTCTCATCAAGGATTATACAAGGAATGGCTCAATTTGGAAAGACTAAAACTTATATAGCGTAAAGATATGAGATAACAACACTCGTGACAAGGTGGAAAAAGTATCAAGTTCAGCACGACACAAAACTCGAACGAAATAATAATAGCGACAAAAACATAGTGAGCAAATTAAGTTACATTGTTAACACCTCGACGAGGAGTAACACCAAACAATTGTAGCGACAACACATTTTCTTTCTGTACGCAAAGTTCAGGATCTAACTTACGGATATCCAAAGCTTCTAACACGGCCAGAGGCAACGCACATCTACCACGTGACAATATTGAGAACACATTATCACTGTACAACTCACGACAATTGGTACGGGCTGACAGATGTTGCTTAATGGACGAAGTGCGATTCTTAGCTCCGTTGTACGTGCGTCCTCACCAGTCCGTATTTTTACTTGGCTGCGCGTAACCCTTCCCGACGCTGACAGATCCTTTGTCAATTTCGGTGGTTTACTTGTCGGTCTTTCACCATCTTTCACACTGTTCTCAGCTGGACCCTGCCCTACACACGCGGAGGTGGACGGGCATGCAGTGACATCTTCACAGGAAGAGGAAGATCCACCGATGGACTGGAAAGCACATTTTGGAGGACGACCACGGCACCCAACGGAGCTAAGAATCGCACTTCGTCCATCAAGCAACATCTGTCAGCCCGTACCAATTGTCGTGAGTTGCACAGTGATAATGTGTTCTCAATATTGTCACGTGGTAGATGTGCGTTGCCTCTGGCCGTGTTAGAAGCTTTGTATATCCGTAAGTTAGATCCTGAACTTTGCGTACAGAAAGAAAGTGTGTTGTCGCTACAATTGTTTGATGTTACTCCTCGTCGAGGTGTTAACAATGTAACTTAATTTGCTCACTATGTTTTTGTCGCTATTATTATTTCGTTCGAGTTTTGTGTCGTGCTGAACTTGATACTTTTTCCACCTTGTTACGAGTGTTGTTATCTCATATCTTTACGCTATATAAGTTTTAGTCTTTCCAACTTGAGCCATTCCCTGTATAATCCACGTAGGTTATTACTATTATTATTATTATTATTATTGTAAAAGAGAAAAGGACATATGGATACGAGTTTAGAGTAACTCTCCATCACTGTAACATGACACTATATACAGTCATAAAGTGCAATAACTATGTCCTTTTCTCTTTTACATTTATTTATGGCTCAACATCCGAGTTTCAAATTATTATTATTATTATTATTATTATTATTATTATAGACAACACCTCATGGCATGAGATGAAAATCAGCCAGTACGGGAGATGTGGGTGTTAACCAACCATGGTGAATAAAAGAAGAAAAGTAATGATCAAGACGGAGAAGCATGGGAGGGACAGGTGATGGTGAATCTAGTGAGCATATTTAAATGTGTCCAGGGTACCGGCATTGCGCGTAGTAGCGGACAGCGCAAGCCAAGCAGAGTAGGCAACAAAGAGTGGAGAATGTACAAGGGAGGACGTTTTAGCCAAGGGGAGGGCAACAGAGCATCTTGTCTGGGAGCCATCTGTGATTCGGAACCAGTTATACACGCTAAGATAAGGAGGATGTAGAGCTAGTTTAAATTTGTGAGCAAAAGTGCAAAATAATGTTTGACGGTGGGTCGACAGTGGGCAAGCATTTGCAAGGACCTATTATTATTATTATGCACACACTCATGGCCCAGGCCAATCAAGGAGGAGGTGAGGGCGATTATAGCCAGCTGTTGTGAACCCTCTAAGATTCTCTAAATTGTCAGGATCGTACGACCACACGGCACGAGGACAACACTTTTCCTTTTAGACAGTATATTTCACTTCATCGAATAATTAACAATGAACACTAATAACATCAGCTATTTATAGCATGCAAAACAGCGTACATGCAAAACATACGCATATGAAACTGGACATAACAGCGTATACAGCAAAACGCACACAACGCATATAGCGTATGCCATGCAGCAACATCAGCGGTACGGCGGAGTCAAAATACAACATTTCAACGAATACCATGCCATAAGCGCGAAGGCCTTTCCCAATTGGGAACTGGTGGTTTACAACATTCTCCCCACCAAAGGGCTTCTCACCGCCGTACAACAGTGCACACAAGTCAAAAACGATCCGGGGCTCTGACTACGCGCCCAGAACGCGTCATCTCCTGCTGCCGTGGTGGTGGTAACGGTGCTGACGGTTCATACGCTGGCTGCTGAGGGACGATAGCAGGTTGAGCGGTATCGGCAAGCCCAGGAGCCACGTCCTGTGACGATACTTCTAATGGCACTAACCTTTGGATCGGCCTCAACAGGGTACTGGTACTCAACTTAACCTTGGCAACACGACGCTTACCATCTCGACCAGGGAATAACTCGATAACAAAGACATCGAGAACAAAGACAACATCACCCATAGCTAAAGGCCGCGACATGGTCTGTTGGTGCTTGTTCAGCTGACTTAGGTACTCCACCTCCCAACGATTCTTGACATGCTCCAGTGTCCGACTGAGGTAACGCAATCTCGATGACATCTGCGCAGCGTCCAGGGTACCTGCTGGCTTCTCTGACGACATCCAGATGTAATACCCATCATCATTGCAGGGGTTACTGGTGGCTCATCCAGGCTATCAGACACATAAGTTAGCGGACGACTATTCACCACTGCTTCAACCTCATACACGAGGGTCTCAAGCTCCTGGACCTTCAGAAACGCTGTTCCCATTACCTTTTTCAAGGCACTCTTCACTGTACCAACCATTCGCTCATAGAAGCCTCCATGCCATGGTGCAGCTGGAGGATTGAACATCCATGGCACACTCAGTTTGTCAGATGCCGCCTTGAACGTTGTAGCGTTGTCAGACCTGATCCGAGACGGCAAACTACGTCTCGCGACAAACTTCCGAAATGCCATCAAGAATGACTCGGTACTTAAACTATCGACCACCTCCAAGTGAACTGCTCTGGTGGTGGCACACACAAACAATGCTATCCATACCTTCGGAGATGACTCACCACGGCGCACGTACAACGGACCAGCATAGTCGATGCCGGTAGTTGCGAACGGCCTCTCGTGAACAACTCGGTCTTCTGGCAGCGGCGGGCAGACTTCTGAGGCAGCCTTAGGCCGCGGTCACACCGAGCTCGATTCAGCCGTTCAGCCGAAACAAGCGCTTGTTTACGTCACTATTACCATGGAAATGGCTGAAAAATGTCCTACAAGCGACTTTCAGCCGTGGCTGACTCTCAGCCGTTTTTTTTCGGCTTGTTTCAGCCACAGCTTGTACAAGCGGCTGAAAGCCGAAATTCAAAAAAATTGAGTGCGCTTGGAGCTCCGGAGCACACCATGTAGCTAGTTGACATGATGAACTGATATTGATGTTCTTTCTTGTGTCCGTGGAACCGTCCTATCCCTGTGCCTTTGGTTTTGACCGTGAGTCTGTCTACCCC